ATAACTTTGTAAACGCTGTCTCGGGCACCTCGTGAGGAACAATTCTGTTTTACTTTATTACTCTTATACTGCAGATTCATTTGCTCCAAGATGTATTATAGGTCAATGCTTTATGAGTCTATGTCTTCTTCTCTTTTAAGTACACTTCAATCTACAACTTTATGTATCTGTCTAAGAGTCATGTCATGTATCTCCAATAATGCACTGCGTATTATAGGTGGTGTTCTTCCTCCTTATTTACACCAACAATATTCCTTTGTCAGTACAGGATTAAATTAATCAGCTGTAAATATATATATATCTGTATCACCACTATTTTAATGACAATCTTGATTTTCATGGTGACTACAAGTGGGGGACAAAACTCAGATCTGTTTCCTTGATTTGCTCCGAGTTTAATTTTTCCTTTGAAACTACAAACTTAGGCCTCATCTAGACGTTATACGTTAGGCTGATAGAACAACCTTTGTTGTTGCCTGCTCATATAGAAAAAGCTGCGAGATTTAGTTTTGTATAAATCATTGCTCTTTGAAATGTAATAGTGAAAGCCGATTAACATATAATAACTGTTAAGGTAAGTTTAATGTTATGGACTTCCTTTGAAATTTTTCCTTAACTTGAACTAAACATTGTACCTTGGGTTTTGCCGGAAAATAATTTCTTGTATAATACAAGGCACACATATCATTTAAGTGTTTCGACTTTGTTACCAGTAAAGATATAACTTTCAGAAATACTCCTAATAGCTACTGTTCGCAAACTGTGGTTGTTGAGTACTGGCATGGTTACAAAGGAAGTATATCATTTATGTCAAGAATATGAAGAAGATGACTTAAAATCGTCCTTTAGGGCACTACGGCTGCAGAAGAGAATGGGTCCCAAAGTAAAAGTATTCATTTTTATCTTAATAGGACTGTTATCTTGAGATCAGAGAGCCGGAGAACGTAGGTAGGGAAGAAAATGAGTTTGACGAGTTAGTAACTTAGTCCATTATGCCAGATGGTAGACGGCATGGAAAACTTTTTTTTCCACATCGAAAAAGATTGCTATCGTGACTGAGTTATAGCTGAACCTTTTTATTACAGATTCTGTTCATCTGCCAAAGAGATTAGCCATTTGTCTGTATTTTCTAGAGCTTTTCTGTATGTTTGAGAGGAGGTCGTTTGTTTGTAGTAAAGGTCTATGACTTTGCCTAGAGGCTAATTGACCTATAACTTGATGGATTCGCTGCAGGTTTGCATTCATTTTAAAACATTAAAACGGTGGCAACTTTCCAAGAAGTGGAAATGTAGCTTGGCAGATAGCGAACAGCACCAAGAGTTGAAGGAGAAGCGAGATGAACTGTTCTCTAGTATTATTCCTTTGGTGATGTATTCTTGATTCTTATCAAGGCAACACTGATTTCAGTGGACGTAATGTTGTTGCTAAGGCTCCTTGAGTCATAATGGTCTGAGTTGAACGTGCGATGAATATTTGCTGAGATAAAATATAGATGTAATGTGATGCAGATATTTACATGGTTACTCCAGTTCTTATAAAAGGATGGCAAACTTAAGTTAGAAGATTTTCAAGACACCAACGTTGTTCTTATCAATAGTTTTATACCGTGTTCGTTGCTGGGAGTAAAAAAAATATATATATGTCAAGCCAAATTTGTTTTTTCTTCCAGAAAAAGAAGCAAAACTTGGATATTGAGTCTTCTTGATGGGCGTACAAAAATAGCAGAATTTTTGGAGTTAGTATAGAGTCTGCGAAGCCTTCGCCTGTTTATATTTTATTTTTACCTTTGGCGTATTTTACACGCCATTTTTATAGGAACCACGCTTCAGTTGCATTTATTACTGTGTTTGCGTAGTTAACTATATCTTATTGACATAACTGTATAGAAAAGTGCTATGTTGAATGAGTTTTTACGATTGACCGTCACATTATAACGCCCCCACGGCTGAAAGAGCGAGTATGTTTGGTATGACGGGATTCGAATCCGCGACCACAGATTGCGAGTCGAGCGCCCTAACCACCTGGCAATCTTTATATCTTACTTTCTCAAGTAACAACGTGTAACGAAATACTCATACTCATATAAGCCCGATAATCAAAACTCTAACTAAATTAACTTAGAAGTAACTATTTCAAAGCTATAAATGTATACAATCCAAAAAATTAATTTGCTTAGCTTGACTTTCGGTTATAAAAACTTGAACATTGTTACATAACGAAGACTTACAGATTAATAATGTTTTTAAATTAAATAATTTTTGATGTTTTTTTTTTGATAAAGCAACACATAAGTGTTTGAAAACAAAATGATAACTTTACTCTTGAAAAAATCTGTGGTTGAAACTTGACCTTACAAAAGATAATTTCGTTTATAAAAAATTAAGTTCATAAGGAAAGCCTATATACAAATATGAGTAAGACACGTTTCAATATATATTTTTTAAAAATCAAAATGTTTTTTAACGTTGTAAAGTTTTCATAACAGTCAGCATTCTTTTTTAACTTAGAAGTATGAGTTGTTTTTGGAAAGAAATGTTTACTTGTTTTTTAGAATTTTCGCGTTAAGGTCCGAAAGGTCTATCTGCGCATAATTATCCCTATTTCTGCACTGATAAACTGAATGGAAGGTCACTAGCACCTGTCGCTAACTCTTCGGCTACTATTGTTTGCCCGAATAGTATGATTTGGATCACTATATCGCTCACACGGTCTCAAATTGCGGAACAAGTTTTTTTGCGATAATGGGAAACGAACCATGAACCCACGGATTCACAGTCCGGGCAAGCTAACCACTTGGGTACAGTCCGTCTTGAAATCAACCACTAAATGATAAATCAGCAAAATTAAACAGCTTAATGTAAAAGAGGGGGGAAGAACATTAACTACAGACGTCTACATTTGTTTAATACTATGAGGTTGAAGTTAAAGTTAGAGCTGAGGATAAAAAGTTAAACATTTGAGAGAACCTAGCCTTAGTTGATATGACGCCAGCCTTACATCAGCATAAATCAATCTATCCACTTTCCTCAAAACTGTATTAGTCTCCGAACAAGTGTTTATGTTAATATTTCACCTGCCTTAAATTCTGATCTCTGCGTAGGGATAGTTAATAACGCTAACTGTATACGTCTAGTCATTATAGATTCAAACAAACTTGCTGTGGATACTTATTTCTTTATTTGCTTAACCATCACTTTAAAAGTTACAAAAAAAAAACTTCCATAGAAATATACAAATTCAAAGTAAAAAAACAAACTCTTTTACAACTAAAAGATTGAATTTTATTTAAAAAAAACAGTAGAAACTACACCATTAACACACTCAATATCTTAGAAGCTTGTTTCAGGTTTTTATGAGAAAATACTCAAACTTGTTTAAGTATATGTTCTATCTGTAGAATTCAGAAATATGTTATTATATGCTTGTTCCTTACTTAAATGTATTATGCTGTATGCGTTTAACACATGTAGCATTTTCACAAGAAACAAACTATCAAACAGAAAACTCTTTGTTGTTTAGCCCAAATGTGCACAGTAGACAGGGATCGAGCCCCGAACTTTAACGTTTTGAGATCTTGAGTTTTTCACTACACGTGATCATATTTTACGTCACAAGAAATATTAACTTTCAAATTACCGACTTGTTTTTATACTGTTCACTACCGATGTGCCCACATCTATATAAATATAATAGTACTGTCTGTTGTATGTCCATGTAACTACTTCGCACGATGTGTATGGATCTTCATCAAAATTGACATAGAAGTTCATTAGGTCCATGCAGGACTTCATACAACTTTTCAGTTTTGCGTTTTGCAGTCCTTATGAGCGTTTTTTTACCACTACCTCACCTCCTGTGGATGAATCTTCACCAAATTTGATATGGAGGTTCAATGGTCCATGAGGAAATACGAACACATTTTCAGTTTTGCATTTTGCGTTTTGCGGTTTTTATGGGCGTTTTTGTATTTTTACAATTACATATAAGAGAAGCAGCTTTTCATGTGCTAAAATAACCTTTCATTAGTAATGAATTTACATAACTTCCGTCCAGGGGACGGTTACTCCAGCTAGTATTGTATTATATCGAGTGATATTACGTTTTTCCCTGTACAATACTCAGTGGTACTAACTGATCAAAAATGAGGTGAAATCATTAATTTTATATGTAAAATATGTGGCAGATCCCAGAAATAATTAATGGGATCAACTACAAAAATTATGGTATTTGAGTTTAAGTTTTTCTTTTTTGTGTAACTGATTTGTTATTAGGGATCATATAGCCAACAAAGTCATGGAACCACAACGAATATGGTTCTTAAACTGCTTATAAAAAAAAGTAGATGGGAGCCTCAGTAAATCTAGAGTTTAAAAATCAACCATTTTAAACTTCTTAATTTATAATTGACTAATAAAAAGGTAGTTAACTTTGAACGTCGAACGTGTTAATGTTTTTAGGAACGTTGAAATTAATGAAACTCAGATTGGTTGATTTTGGAATTACATAATATAAAATATGATATTATATAATATTTTAACCTCAACTTAGAAAGTAGT